TGGTGGGAGAAGCTGGGTTGGGCAGGAGAAGCTGGGATTTGGTGGGAGAAGCTGGGGTTTGGTGGGAGAAGCTGGGATCTGGTGGGAGAAGCTGGGTTGGGCAGGAGAAGCTGGGATTTGGTGGGAGAAGCTGGGATCTGGTGGGAGAAGCTGGGTTGGGCAGGAGAAGCTGGGATTTGGTGGGAGAAGCTGGGGTTGGGTGGGAGAAGCTGGGGTTTGGTGGGAGAAGCTGGTTGGGTGGGAGAAGCTGGGGTTTGGTGGGAGAAGCTGGGTTGGGTGGGAGAAGCTGGTTCAGTCTGCCCTGCTGGCCTCCCGACTGCTCTCCAGGGATGCTCAGCCTCTCCTCGCATCCTGATCCCTGACCCACACCTCACTTCAGTCCCCTGTGGGTATGGGGGGGGTTCCCCACACATCCCACTTGGACGGCACTGCCAGCCTGTGGAACATCCTCTCTGTGACCCTTAGAACAGCGTCAGCAGGCACAGTGGCTCCGCTTCCCACACAGAGAAAGCAAGGTGGCTTTCGGGGTGCAGAGCAGAGGAGGTGCCCCTCGGAAATCCTGGGCTCATGGAGGCGCTGCCACCCTCCTCTAGGCCTCTGGGATCCGATGCCTCCCTGCTGCCACCCGGCACTGACTCAGGCCGAGCTCTGCCCGCTTCTTGGCGCCGTGGTGGGAGCTGTGCCGTCACCAGCGTGGATCCCGGAGCAGGACCTGGAGCAGCTCACAGGCTACTGCGCGTGCGGACGCTGCCGGCCCCCACCTCCGGGCTGTCCCATGGGGCGAGGGGGGACCAGGGGCAGGCCCAGTGGGGCCTCAGCCCCTGCAGCTCTTCCTGCTCCCCTGCTTCTCCCTTCAGTGGTGGCCGCGGCCCTGGGCGGGGGCATTCTCCTTGCCTGAGACCCCCAGAAGCCCCAGGCAGCTCCCCCACCAGCCCCGGCGCCACAAAGAGTTAACCTGCTTCCCTGAGACTCCTGGCTGGCCTGTGGTTTTTTTATTGTTGTTGTTTCCCCGCTCAAAATGGTTGTTGAGCAGAAAGAAAGTAGGTGGAACTGGCAATTTGGTGACAGAGATGCCCAAAATAATTTCCCCGGGGCAGCGTCCCCAGGGCCTTCCCGGGGGGCGGGGGGAGGGCAGCGGGTGGGGCCCACTGTGGAGCTGCCCGGTCTCGTTTGACCCCCCATGCAAGCCGGGCCGGGCGGCCTCTGCCGCCAGCACACGCCGCCCAGCTGCCCACGCGCTTGCCCTTCTCAAGGCTCTGAGCCGGAGAAGCTGGGATTTGGTGGGTAAAGCTGCCTCCAGACCCAGAGACAGTAGCACACAGCTGACTGGTCTCTGGGGACACACTGATGTCCCCTGCCCCCCCCCCCACGTCCCAGCACCGAGCCCAAGACACAGTAAACAGGAGCTACCTGAGAAATGGACAAATCAGTTCCTCCACCCGCGGCCGGCCTGGCCCCTCCGCAGAGCCCCTGGGCCACGCGCCCCTCTGTGGACCCCACTTCTGAGATCAAGGAGTCCGGTGACACAGGCTCTGGGCCTGGCTGTGGGCTGCGGTGCCCAGCGGGCACACAGGCCACGCAGGCTCCCTTCACGCCGGCTTAAACTCATGACAATGAAGCAGAACGAAAGCACCCAAGCCGGGCCTCACATTCCACGCGCGGCTGGCGGCTCTGGGCTCGGACGCCACAAAAAGGCACGGGCCCTTCACAGACAGCAGAAGCCCCCGGCACCCGTCCTGGGATGCGCAGCTCACCGCTGCCCAGGGCTGGCCGGCCACGGCCACCGGCGGGTCCCAGAAGCAACTGCAGCCATCTCCCCACAGCTCCACACACGCGCCTGGTCCCCAGAGCTGCTGCTGCTGCCGGTGGCCCCATCTCCCACCCCATGGCCCCCGAGCCCCCGTGGCCCCATCTCCCACCCCATGGCCCCCGAGCCCCCGTGGCCCCATCTCCCACCCCATGGCCCCCGAGCCCCCGTGGCCCCGTCTCCCACCCCATGGCCCCCGAGCCCCCGTGGCCCCGTCTCCCACCCCATGGCCCCCG